TGGAATCACAGAACGCAGCCATTTCGAGATGTTATATTTCAATGTAAGTCACTGTAAATGACATAGACGATTCGAAACGAGTGGGAAACAAAAAGATGTATAATAATAATGATGTTATCGCAAATATTGCAAAGTATGCAAACTAGTACGAGGTCACATCGACCTCCATTACGCGCTAGTCGAGCTCGTAGTATATGACTACTAGTATGCATATTAAAACGCAGTGTCCGAAAACTATGCACATTTTTAATGTTGGATTCTGTTTGACATTTTGACCTCATCAGCATCATTTAAGCCGTGTGAAGGTGTGCCGCTATAAATCTCAAATATGTTTCTGACTAGTAAAAAAATAATAATTGAAATAACAGAATTTATCTATGAGTAATTATGACAATACATGTTTGTTCCTACTGTTTAGCTGCGTTAGATTCTGAGGTATTCAAACCTCATAACACAATAACTTTCGACCCTGCGTTATTTTTTTGGATCCAGGGTTAACTATCAATGGCTGAACAGAGCAAAACTCAAAATTCATGGACAACATCTTTTCTGCAAATGTATCAGTGTTGATCATTTTATAGTGAAGAACACGTGTGATCATTATCGATATTGACGAAACGAAATTTGTTTTGAACTCGAGACATTTCGTGAGTGTGTGAGTTGGTGGATGGGTGCATGCTATACAATAGTTATACATATTTACATATCAGCTCATGCATATTCATGAACCACAATATATATAACACTTAAGACTGACACTACACATACATGTAAGGCCCACATCAAATTATAGTGTATGGCGCTATCGCAGATCTTTGTCCTCGTACATTTATTGTGGTTAGTCTAAAGATCATGTGATGATCGGATAAAATGTGTTGACAAACTTTGAGACATAATTTTAATACATAATTATTAAAGTCAGGCCGGTCATAAAAAATAGCTGTCGGGTCATTTGGAGCCTGTGGCCCCTTAACCGCATTTTCTAATCTGAATCATCGTTAATCTTTCCCACTTTCGCGCATATGCGTCAAAGATGTGGTTGCGTATGATGCGGGTTGTAAGTATCCTTTTGTTATCAAGCATGAACTACCTGTCTTCAGACTTGGTAGTACCAATGGGAGTGTCAAGAGGTCTATATATATGTATTAAATCTGAAATAATTCATACAAAGCGAATGGGAATGCCAAACAGTGATTCGTATAACTTAAACTATATAGATCACACTTGTTGTGGGTTCTTTTCACGGGCCATAAAGGCATTGGAAATCATTAAGATGGTTATCGTTACAAGACGACAATGATCTCAGGCCAATAACAATTGGACATCTAAGAACCATAGAGAATTTATAAATAAGGGAACGAACACATTCATCATTCACGCACAGCACTAAATGACCCAAATTTGAATTAACTGCAATGTGCGGACGCACACTTTAATACAAAGAGCAAACAAAAGTTTGACAGTAAATACACAAATAGCTTCACAAAATCGGCTAAATAAATATTACTGCATTGCTTAAATATTTTAGACGGTTCCGATAAACGTAACCGCGGTCGAAATATGCAGGCAAGGCATGGGGAAACTGAAACCTGGCTGTTTGTGCGT